CAAGGTCAGCAAAGCATAGCAGGCTGCTGAGCAATGACACAGCTACATGCAGGGTCTAAGCGTGCCATAGGCTAGAGACCATTCTCAAAGCTTTTCCTTATATACAGGAAGCAGACCACATCCCAAAGGCAGCTACTCAGCTGCTTGTGGTAGATCCCACCTACCACCACAGAGCTGATTGCCAGTCTCATCATGGGGAATAACTACCACCAGCTGCCCAGCCACTCAACCAGGCCCAGCCAAGTTGACACAAAAACATAACCACCACAAGGGCTATATGAAAAGAAAGGCTGAAGGCAGACTCTGAAAGAAAGTAAACGTCAGACAAATGCAGGCAACAGAGAACCAACTAACAGTAATAAGATGAACAAGTTATCATTTGTTAGGTGTCAATTACACATTTTAGGTGCCCTAAATAAAATAAAACCTATGAATTCCAAGAAAACCAGGTTAATTCTGGGTCCCAAATCTTTTACCTTTGCAGAAAGAGTACTATCCTCTCCATTTTACAAGTGAAGAAACCAAGGCTTAAATAAAAATTACTAGTCCAACAAATATTGTATTAGTCTACTATTGTAAAAAGTCAAGAGAAGGTTTATATATGGAAGGAAATTTTCTTTGTTGGTTACCAGGGATGGGAGGGGAACACTGTTAGATAGGTAGAGACAAGTATCGATTTGGGTGAAGGGTAGGGCAATGTACCAAATGTGAGTGATCAACATGGTGGCACTGAGGAAGAGGAAGACATAGAAAGGTGCATGGGAGGTACAGACAACAAAGATGAACCCCTTTGCACGTACAGTACTGAATTGTCAGTGAAGGCAAACATGGGTATATGGGTGGATAGATGGGTGGACAGGCTGAACTATTAGGTACATCTATGCAGGGGAGGGGACCTCTGGTAGCGTAGTGCCTAAGGCATTTGACTGCTAACCAGAAGGCTGGCGGTTCAAACCCACCAGTCACTCCTTGGAAGGAAGATGGGGCAATCTACTTCTGTAGTGATAGTGCCTTGGAAACCCAAGGAGGGGTCGCTATGAGTTGGGTCTGACTCGACGGCACATAACAACAACAACAACAACAACATGCAGGGGAGAGTGAGCTCAAGACCATGCATAGGGTTGGCAGACAATGTTTCTACAAGTGTATTTGTATGTTCTCTAAGAATTCCCAAGAGTATAGTAGAGCTGACAAGGGACGTGGTTGCAGTTACTTCTTGGCCACCGCCAACTACCCAGAGGGAATGAGTAGCTGGACCTGTGTGCTTGAGATCATAGTCCCAGGGGACATTAAGCTCAATTGGCATAACACACTACACAAAAACATTGTTCCACATCCTATCTTGGCGAGTAGTGATTGGGACTTTGAAAGCTTGCAAGCAGGCATCTAGATGCAACCATGGGTCTCTTCTCATCCAGAGCAAAGAAGAATGAAGGAAACCAAAGATGCATGGAAACAATTAGTCCAAGGGACTGGTACACCATGCAATCCTCAGCCTATAGAACTATGTGACTAGAAGACCTAGATGGTGCCCAGCTACCACTGTCAACCACTCGGAGGGGGATCTATGTAGGAGATCCTGGGTAGAATGGAAGAACAATGTAGAACAAAACTCAAAATCATTTAAAAAAAAAAGGGGGAGCAGGTTTGCTTGTCTGACAGAGCCTGGTGGAACCCCTGAGACTATGGCCCCTAACTGCCCCTCAGGTCTGGAATTGAACCCACTCCTATGGATTCCAGCCAAACAAAAGACAGGCATATGATCCTTGGAGTGATCAATCATGGGAGAATAAAAGGGTTATATACCACAGGTAGACAGCTCAGGGGGCAGGAGTACATGAAGGGAAGGACACAGGAAGAGGTAACTATGGGGAGGAAGTGGGAGGGGAGCAGTTGCATTGTGGGAAATTACAGTCAATGTCATGAGATAAAAGTGTATGTGAGCTGCTGTATGGAAAGTGAATTTGTGCTGTAAACTTTCACCCAAATCACGATTAAAAAAAAAAAAAAAAACTATATAGGTTATGGGAGCTCTGGTGGCATAGCGCCTAAGGCATCTGACTGCTAACCAGAAGGCTGGCGGTTCAAACCCACCAGCCACCCCTCGGAAGGAAGGCTGGGCCGGCCATCTACTTCTGTACTGATAATGCCTTGGAAACCAAAGGAGGGGAGCTGGATCCCACTCAACAGCAGTTTGTTTTTTTTTTTTTAATATAGGTTATAAGGTTATATAGATTGTAACTAGTAGAACCAATTTAAATACAAAATCTAGTACTCCAATAAAGCATATTCTTTCTACTAAATCATATGGTCTAAGGGTTTTTGAGAAGAGAGCACATGATAAAAAGATGTATTTAGAATACTCATTGCATTACTATTCACAATAGCCAAAGAGTGGAAATAACCTAAATGTCCATCAACATATGAATAGATAAAACGTGGTATATTCATACAATATAATTACTCAGCAATAAAGAGAAATGAAGTCTTGATTTCATACATGCTACAAGATGGGTCAATCCTGAAAACATGCTAAGTGGAAAAAATCATTCACAAAAAAGACAAATATTGTTATGAAAAAGATGCTTGTAGGACCAGGTTTGCTGGTCCAATAGAGCCTGGTGTAACCACTGAGACTATGGCCCCTAGCTGCCCTTCAGGTCTGGAATTGAACCCACAACTGTGGTTTCCAGCCAAACAAAGTACAGGCATGTGAGTTAAACATTTACCTCAAATAGACACACGCCCTGGAGAGAACAATCATGGGAGAAGGAAGGGCTGCTTATGCACAGGGAGATAGCTCAGGGTGCAGAAGAGTATGAAGGGATGGACACTGGGAGGAGGTAACTATGGGGAGGAAGAGGGAGGGGAGCTGCTGCATTGTAAATTTTGGTCAATGACATGAGACAAAGTATATGTGAACTGCTGTATGAAAAGTGAATTTACTCTGTAAATCTTCACCCAAATCCTAATAATAAGAAAAAAAAAGAAAAAGATGCTTGTAGTTTTCAGCTTGGATGACTTGAGGTAATAACTGTTACCATCCATAAAGATGGGGCGGTCAGAAGGGCAAAGCAGTGTTGAATACAAAACTAACCATATAACTGATTGTACTGCTTTAGAACACACACACAAAGAGAAAGCAGAGGGACTACCTAATGAATTAGTAAATGAAAAGTCCATTATTCTTATAACATCTTTAACTTTTGGCAACCTGTGTCATTATACACTATCCAAGAGCAGTTGACAAGTCCACAGCATGCTAAGTACTGCAAAGTGCAATCCAGTGGAAGTGGGACAACTGCCTTGGTGAAGATTAAATTGAAAAGAGCTGGGAGGGGCTGACACATATATCCTGTATACCATTTAAGGAGGGTGGTAGTGGGGAACACAAAACAAGCAAGTGCTGACAGGATAATTTAAAATCCTGGACACTTTCACAACTTAAGGACACTTGCTCTTATACAATAGTGGATGAGCCCAAATAGGAGCTGATTTTTCATTTATGATCTCAGAAACCTGAAACTCAGGCACCTTGGGACTTCTCTCCAACAGCAAGTACACTGTTTTATAATTATCTCAGTGTCTGGGAGCTCTGGCGGTGTAGTGCCTAAGGCATTTGACTGTTAACAAGAAGACTGGAGGTTCACACCCACCAGCCACTCATTGGAAGGACGACTGGGCAATCTACTTCCATAGAGATACTGCCTTGGAATCCCAAGGAGGGGTCGCTATGAATAGGGACGGATTCACCGGCAATGAGGTTTTTGTTTTTTGGGGGGTTTTGAACTGTCTGGTTGAGGAGCCCTGATGACCCAGTGGTTAAGTGTTGGACAATCTAGGGCACAGTCGGCCTTGTGCGGAATCCTTAAAACTCAGCCTGCTCAGGTGACCTTGGACGTGTCCCTACCTTCACTTTGCTGAGTTTCTACCTTGAGAAGAAGAAATAGGCCAAGTAAAGGTTAGTTGGCAGTTAGAACCCACCAGCTGTTCTGCGGGAGACAAATGTCCGCCTCTGTAAAGATTACAACCTTGGAAAGCTCACGGGGCAGTCCTATCCTGTCCTATAAGGTCGCTATGAATTGGACAGGCAACAGGTTTTATTGGAAGGGTCTATTCAAATGTTTGCGAACTCTGGTGGTAGTGTCTAAGGCATTTGACTGCTAACCAGAAGGCTGGCGACTCAAAACCACCAGCCACTCCTCGGAAGGAAGGCTGGACAATCTACTTCCGTAGTGATACTGCCTCACAAACCCAAGGAGGGGTTGCTATGAGTCGAGTCCGACTCCACGGCAATGAGTTTGGTTTTGGTTCATTCAAATGCTTACTCATTGAGGCTAACAATGCCTGGTCACAAAGCCCTCAATAAATGTTGAATGAATGAATGAACTTTTGTTCATGGCTTTTCAGGGAACACGAGCTACTACTTCTATTTCCCAGATAATTTTTGCACTCCTCTCTCCCGAAGGGAAAATTCCAAAAAAGCAAGCCTACACCGAACTTTTCCAGACCCTCTGTCCTATTCGTTTGAAATGTTTCACCCTGCGGACCAATACAATAAGGTCTCAAGCAAATGGCACCGTTTCAGAGGCCTATCTCCCCTTTCTCAACGCAAGAACTGAGCAAAGCGACGTATGGGGACGTGTCCAAGGTCACCTGAACAGGCTGAGAGTTTTACGGATCCCGCACAAGGCCGACTGTGCCCTGGACTGCCAGGAGGCTCTGAGGCTCCACTGAATACAAGCCTGGATCTCCTGATCATCCACTGCAAGGTCACCTGAGTGCTGGGCTAGGGGCAGCAATGCTGCCTCACGCGGCCCGGGAGGTACGGGGCTGAGAATCCTACTGGACGCTCAAGCCCTCGTTGCCCACGGTTACCAAGCCTACGTCGAGACCCTGTAGCTGAGTTCAGCTTGCACCTCGAGAGACTGCATAGTGGAGAACCAGGACAGAGTGGTCAGAGGGGCAGGAGAAAGGAAAGGACAGAAGGTAAGTCTCACCATGGTTCTCGCGCATACTCCTCCATCTTGACTCCAAGGCGCGAGCGATGTCGGGCAAACTGGGAGGAGCCTGACCTCAGCGGCGGAAGTGATCCCCAGAGGGGGGCGGTAAAGTCTATGGGGATTGGTTTACCGTTTTCTCCCGCAGCCAATGAAAATCGTGACTCCTGGGCGGGGATGGGGGAGCGGCTGAGGGCGGGGTATTGGCTCCGCCCCTGCCCTGGTGGCTGTAGGGTTTATACCCTGTAGTTTTGGAGCTACTGTAAGGGCGGAGAGTGCGAATTACAGGTTCTTTGGGCCTTCGGTGGGAGCTTTGGCGGTGCAGTGGGCTAAGCGCTCAGCTGCTGCTCGAACCTGTAGCTCCGCAGGAAATTTACAGCCTTGGAAACTTCTACCCTTTCCTATAGGATCACTAGGAATCGGACTCAACAGCAATAGGTTTGATTTTTTGGTTTTTTGAGACTTCGGTGACCTCAGATAAAAAAAAATACAAAAACCCAAACCTATTGCCATGGGGTGGATTCCGACTCATAACGACCTTAGAGAACAGAGTCGAATTTCCCCCATAGGGTTTCCAAAGCGGTAATCTTTAGGAAACCAGATTGCCACATTTTTCTCCTGCAGAGCAGCTGGTGGGTTTGAAGCTACCTTTCAGTTAGCAGCCTAGCACTTAACCACTGAGCCACCAGGGCTCCTATCCCGCGATTACTGGGTTCACCAAATTTCTTAAATAAGTGTTTTCTTTTCTTTTTTTTTAGTACTTTGGCTGTCAACTGTGAATCCATGCTACTTAATTCGTCTGGAACACTTCATTGTGCTCATGAGGAACGTGTACATAGATCAAGAGGCAGTCCTTGGAAGAGAACAAGGACACTGCATGGTTTAAAATCAGGAAGGGAGTTCATCAGGGTTGTATCCTTTCATCATACTTATTTAATCTTGCAAATAATACAAGAAGCTGAATTATATGAAAGGAGTTCCAGGGGCATAGTGCATAAGGCATTTAACTGCTAACCAGAAGGTTGACAGCTCAAACCCACCATCTGCTCTGTGGGAGGAAGATGAGGCAATCTACTTCTGTAAAGATTTACAACCTTGGAGACCCAATGGAGGTCCAGCTATGAGAAATAATCAATTTGATGGCAGTGGGTTTGGTTTTTCTGATTTTGGACTATATGAAGAAGGTGTCATCAGGATTGGAGAGAGACTCATTAACAACCTGCAATAGCAGATGACAACCTTGCTTGCTGAAAGTGAAGACGACTTGAAGCACTTACTGATGAAGATCAAAGACTACAGCCTTCAGTATGGATTGCACCTCAACATAAAGAAAATAAAAGTCCTCAAAACTGGACCAATAAGCAACATCAAGAAATAGAAAAAAGATTGAAGATGTCAAGATTTTTTTTACTTGGATCTACAATCAATGCCCATGGAAGCAGCAGTCAAGAACTCAAACAACATATTGCATTGGGCAAATCTGCTGCAAAAGACCTCTTAAAATGTTAAAGAGTAAAGATGTCACTCTGAAGGCTAAGAAGTACCTGACCCAAACCATTGTCTTTCCAATAGCCTCGTATGCAAATGAAACCTGGACAATGAATAAGGAAGACTGCAGAAGAATTGATGCATTTGAATTATGGTGTTGGCAAAGAATATTGACTATACCATGGATTGCCAGAAGAACAAACAAGTCTATCTTGGAAGTACAGCCAGAATGCTCCTTAGAAGTAAAAATGGCCAGGCTTCATCTCTTGTACTTTGGTCATGTTATCAGGAAGGATCAGTTCCTGGAGAAGATCATGCTTAGTGAAATAGAGAGTTAGTGAAAAAGGGGAAGACCCTCAATGAGATGGATTAACACAGTGGCTGCAACAATGGACTCAAACATGGCAACAATTGTGAGTATGGTGCAGGACCAGGCAGTGTTTCGTTCTGTTGTACATAGGGTTGCTATGAGTCAAAACCATCTCGACACCTAACTATATCAACAATTCATCTTGAATGGTGAAGCTCTTACTAACCACATTGAGCTCCTTTAAGGCAGTCAGTGCCTTAGTCCTTCCTTTATGGTCACAATGTCTGGAATGTAGTAGATGCTCAATAGATGGTGAAATGGAATTACTTGGGCTATCTGGAGTGCCATGACCAATTTGGGGCTCTGGATTTGAAGAACTTTGACCACAGAGCCTCATCCACACCTACCTTCTAATGATCACCAGAAGATGTGTGAAGTGTTTAGCCTCAAGAAGAAGAGACTAAAAAGATGGGACTTATTGGCTCCTTTGAGTTTACAGTCAACAATAGTCATGTGGATGGTAGTTAAAGGAGCTGCACTTTTATGATTTACTTTAAATCATTTATTTATTTATTTATTTTATGGAAAAGTAAGTGAAATAAATATAAAGGAAACTGACCTCAGGGAAGAGTGAGGTCCTCTCCAAAAGTTTGTAAATAAGACAAGCAAATGAATAGAGCTCATCAGAACTAAATGTTGTCAGTAAATGTGTCCTATATGTGAGAAGAACAGTTCAAAGTAATAAACTGATTTGGATAAGTTCAAGAAGGCCTGTTTGGAATGTTTGACAGTAATTAAGAAAACTTAAGTCTAATTAATTTTACTGAATGAAGAGAGAATATGGGAGATAGCAACATGGAACCTAGAATAAGAGAAACTCAGCAGGAATTTGGTACTTAGTCAGCACTCCAGATGTAGTAGGCACAAATACTTCAGTAAGCAGAGATTTGCACCCTCATACAAAAAAAAAAAAAAAAACAACTCACTGCCGTTGAGTCGATTCCGACTCATAGTGACCCCCTTTGGGTTTCTGAGGCAGTAAATCTTTATGGAAGTAGACTGCCCAGGCTTCCTTCTGTGGAGTGACTGGTGGGTTTGAACTACCAATCTTCTGGTTAGCAGTCAAATACCTTAAGCACTACACCACCAGAGCTCCTATTGCACTCTCATATGGCCAGCTATATTTTTTTTCTGGTCTCACTGGGGCCTAAAAGAACTACCACTTATCTCTAGCTACTTCCCTTTGCTCTTACTCCATGTTCTTTACTCAGTCTTCTGATTTTAATTTGGTTTCTGAATAGAAACAGATTTTCCTTTAGGAGAGACTGTCCTTAACTGAGGAGTTCTGGTGGTATAGTGGTTAAAGCATTTGGCTGTTAACCAAAAGTTCAGCAGTTTGAACCCACCAGCCACTCTGCAGGAGAAAGATAAGGCAGTCTGCTTCCATAAAGATTTACAGCTTTGGGGCAGTTCTACTCTATCCTATAGGGTTGCTGTGAGTCTGTATCTACTTGATGGCAGTGGGTTTGGTCCTTAACCTGTGCTTATAACTATTCTTGTTACACTGGTTTATGCATCTGCTTTTTGTGAGTTTGTTTTTTTTTAAAAAATCAAATCCACCAAATCTGAGGACAGATTCTAGGCTGTGGTTACCCAGTTCATTTCATTCCAAAAATCTTTTTCCTGAAGGAGTTTACTGTTTTGTGTGGCTCTGCTCAAATGGCCAGCCATTACCCTCAGACTTTTTATCCTCTGTTCTATCTGCAACAGGGTGTAGCAACATTTTTGGTTGGGCATGCCCTAGGATTTAGCCTTTGTTGGCTAGACGTAGAAGTTGTTACCTTTTTTGTCAAAAATATCCACTTGCGTGTGGTTCCAGGATGCTGAGTGAAAAAAAATCTGGAAGAAAAGGTATTAGAACACCAAACCAAAAAAAAACCCAAACTCACCGCCATCGAGTCAGTTGCAACTCATAAACTCATAGTAACCCCTCCTTGGGTTTCCGAGGTGGTATCACTACAGAAGTAGTTCTCCCAACCTTCCTTCTGAAGAGTGGCTGGTGGGTTTGAACCGCCAGGCTTCTGGTTAGCAGTCAAGTGCCTTAGGCACCACACTACCAGAGCTCCCATTAGAACACCAGTCTCCCCCTAAAGCCAACCAGTTGCCGTGCAATTGATTCCAACTCATGGCGACCTCAAGTACAGTCAGTAGAACTGTGCTTCCTATGGTTTTCAAAGGCTGATTTTTCAGTAGATCACCAAGCCTTTCTTCCAAGGTGCCTCTGGGTGGATTTGAACCTCAACACTTTCAGTTAGCAGCTGAATGCACTACCCAGGGACTCCAGTCTCTCCCTAATGAATCTTAAAGAAATCTGAGGAACTTGGATAGTTTTAATTGAGGGAATAGTCCATGGGAAGATAAGGGGAAAAAAAAAAAGTGGAAGACCTTGAGAGAACACTCACCAGAAAAATGAGGGGAGTTTGAACTGACGATCCAATACACCGGGGTTTATTTTGTTGACAGTCAGTATTGTGGGCCCAGTCTGGGATTGATGGTTGAACCCCTTGTGATCCAGATACTCTGGATATTGTGTGTGGGAGTTGTGACTCCCAGGACTCATATTGCTATGAAGTTTCCCCAACTGAACCAGGTGAAAGAAGAAAGATCCTCTCTTGTACCTCAGGGTAGATGAGCTCTGTGAGGTAGCTGAATCTGGCAGTGACTCTGGTGCCTTTTTCCCAACCTTAAATTAATTATACACCAAGCCACCACCCCTATCCCACAATTAGCTTTTATTTATCTTCCACTCTTGGACAGATAGATCTGATTTTTTTTTTTTTTTCTTTTTTTCCCCCTTGGAAAGGGGACTGGTAGAGGCTGGGATTGGGAAGAGATGGCTATTTGATAAATATTAAGTGTGAGTAGCTAGCAAGGTGGAAGGAAGGAGTCAAGAAAGCAAATATTGCATCAGGCAAATTTGCTGCAAACAACCCCTTTAAAGTTTTTAAAAGCAAAATGTCATTTTGATGACTAAAGTGTTTCTGACCCCAAGCTATGGTTTTTTCATTGCCTCATATGCAGGTGAAAGTTGAGTAATGAAAGACAGAGCATTTGATGCATTTGAACTATGGTTTTGGTGAAGAATATTAAAGATACCATGGACTGCCAAAAGAACTAACGGATCAGTCTTAGAAGAAATAAAATCAAAATGTTCCTCAGAAGCATGGTGAGACTTCAACTTGCTT